AAAATTTTCTTGAAAAAATTTTTTTTTTGATAAATGTTTTTTGAAAAATTTTCTTTGAAAGAGTTTTTTGAAATTTTTTTTTGTGAAATCTTGTTTTTGAAAATTTGTTTTTCAACTTTTTTCAGAGTTGCTACAGCAAATGATTCAACAACCTAAGACAAAAACTGGTTCATCCCGAAGACAAGACTCCAGGGAAAAAGTTGGACAAGGTGGTTTATGCCATTCAGTGCAGTGAGGAGTCTACAGACCTGAACACTGGGGAGACCAACCCACCATGGCCCAACCCAGGAGGGCCAACTCCTCAGGACAGGACTCAGCTGTTCACAAACACCCCTAAGACAAAACCCACTAATTTGAGGACAACAATGTAAGAAGACAGATGGTTTGAGAGAGGAGTAAACATACAAAACACAAACAAAACACTTTTAGGAACAACACCCAAAAGATACACCTGAGTTTCACACAACAAAGAGGCAGGTGACTGAAACTGCTCTGACCGGGGGCCACAACAACCCACCAGAATCTTAATGATTGTTTTCAGTTTTTCTTTTTTTTTCAGAGAAGACAGATGGTTTGAGAGAGGAGTAAACATACAAAACACAAACAAAACACTTTTAGGAACAACACCCAAAAGATACACCTGAGTTTCACACAACAAAGAGGCAGGTGACTGAAATTGCTCTGACCCGGGGCCACAACAACCCACCAGAATCTTAATGATTGTTTACAGTTTTACTTTTGACTCCAATACCCCACCTAACAGGGTGGAGCTGAAGTAGCTTTATTCTTTCACACCCAGAGTATTTATCTGCTGTACTCCCCACCACTGGTTAGAACTAAAGAAGCCTCATGGATTAGAGGTGAAACGTCTTCTTTGAGAAAATTCAGGTCCGGTTGCCTAACAGAACTTTTTAAACTTGTCCACAGATAAGCTAACACCGCGGCGTTTGTAATACCATTCTACCATATCAGACTGTACTCTACCCGACCAATAACACATCTCCGACAGTGTTGCTGCCGTCACATGAGGTGTGGTCGTGTTACCATCGGAAACTCAGAAACTCAGGTACGAATGTGATTTAAAAAGTGGCGAGGTACGATTCCGCAGAAAAAAACGTACTGAATTAAAGTAAAAATTATGGGTTTTTATAAGTCTTTTGAACAGTATAAGAACACAGAAAACGAATCAGTTACAGTAACACCACTACATGTAATTCGATATTTTCCAACTCTGGTTATCAACTTCTTTTTTTTCTTTCCGCTTTGTCCCTTTTTTTTTTTTCAGGAGTTGCTACAGGAGTAGCTAATTTTTTGAAAAAAGTTTTTTGAAATTTTTTTTTGAAAATTTTTTTGTAAATTTTTTCTTGAAAAATTTTTTTGAAAATATTTTTTGGAAAATATTTTTTTAAAAATTTTTTTGAATATTTTTTGCTGACTTCGTTGTGGGCGAATGTTTGGTTATCACGTGGCTAGGTCTGACAAGTGTTGGCTGCATTATTGTCCTCGTTTGCTAATGTTTGCTTTAAACTCGGTCATTTTATTCCCGTCAGTTTTTTTTTGCTTTGTCTGTCAACATTAATGTATAGTAGGTTTTTAATTAAAAACTGTAAAGAACATTTAAGCCACCCTTCTTTGTTGTATTTAGATAATTATTGTGTTTGGTACCATTTTAAATATTTAATGCTGTCCAAGAATGCAGGAATCAAATATAATTATACTTCAACTCATTAAATCACAAAACTCAACCCCTCAATTACACATAATTGAAACAGAACTGTGGATAGACAATAGCTACTGATAACATTGTAAATATCACATTCATGACTGTTTACGTCATCAGTGTCCTAGTTATCGTCCTGTTGCTTACCATGATAACCAGTAAAGGTTTTTGTATTTCCTTCAGAACAGAGGAAGAAGGGACTCTTTACTGGCAGATCATTCACCTGGACTGAACCTGGGTGAGGCCTCTATCTCTCTGTATATAAGTGACAGCAAACCACAGAACACAACAACACAACAAGGTTCTTCATCACAGCCGTAGAACTCACTGAACCCCAGAAGGATCTCCACAGACACAGGTAGGACTTGTTTTATGACAAAAATGTCAAACCATTTTTTGAAGATTTATTTTTCTGACTAAATTGAAATTATTATTTCCCAGAGATGCTGCTCTCGCTCCTCTTTGTGCTGGGCCTCTGTCTGATGCCTGCTGACTCCACAGCAACAGGTGAACGGCGTCACACACGGAACATACATCTCTGCAGCTTCTCCCTCACTGTACTGAATATTTTTATTATCATTATTCTCTTTGCAGAAGAGTTTCTGGGCAGTCCGTTTCTGCAAAGCTGTTTTGAGGAGGCAAAGAAAATCGTGGATGATGCTTATACCTACTCCAGAGAAGAGTGAGTTTTTAAACATAAACTGTAATTGGAGGGGCCTACAGGGGGTGTGGGGGGGGGTGCATTTCTTTTGACTGACTTTTTGACTGACTGACATATTTTGTAAATTTATTTTATTGTTATTGTTAATGTCAAAACAGACTAATACGCGAGTATCCATGTGTGATTTCACCCAACCCAATTTTACCCCTGTAGGCTTGAAGTTCAATTTTTCAAACCATCACTGATCTCACGTCATGATAATACTGGTGGAAACTGACAACAGATCTTTCTGTGACACAAACAATCGTTTAGTTTGGTTTGTTCAACCATGTGACCTGTTCTTCTCCAGGAGTCTGAGGCGAATCCGTAAGGATGCGGTGAGTCCCCATGATGTACTGCATCTCCTCAAGCAGCCCCGAGGAGACACACGCTCAGCAGTCAGGTCTGCAGACTACATGGCACAAACCCTCCGTCTGGTGCAAGAAAGGGTCCATCATGTGCACAAACGCTCCCTCAATGCAACAGGTCAGACAGGCGACGACGACTACAACACACACACACTCTGTTACAGCTTTTCCTGGTTAATATTTTAGGTCCATATTTAAATCCGTAATCCAGAAGCAGAAGTTAGGACTTAGCAGACTTGTACAAAAACATACTGTTTTTGTGAAGTGTTGTTTTCCACCTTTTTCAGATTTGCTCTCTGAGGACAATCTAATAAAGCTCTCTGAAATCACTGGATGTGCAGCCCGGATAAGGCCTCCAAACTGCCGCACCATACAGAACGTAAACAAGTATCGTACCATCAGCAGTGTCTGCAACAACCTGTGAGTGTGTAGAAAACATATATATTTTTGTGCTCTAAAATATTAGCATTTTAAGACAGAAACAAATCTACAGAATCCGCAATTTCTTTTATAACAAACACCTCTCGGACCATACAAAACCTGGACTTTTTTCTTATTTAGAGAATTTCCTCGCCGTGGTTCCTCCAACATTGCGTTTACCCGCTGGCTGCCTGCTGAATATGATGATGGCATCTCACAACCAAAAGGCTTCAACAACAGGACCATTAACAACTTCCTGCTCCCATTGGTATAACTCGTGAAAAACAAAGAAATCTACTAAATATTACACTGAATAATTTTTAATTTTAATAAACAAACATCTCTTTCAAATTCCTCCAGGTTCGACAGGTTTCTAACAACATACTGAGCACCACAGATGCCGGCGTGGTCAGCGACAGAGAATTAAGTTCTTTGACATCCATCTTTGGTCAGTGGAATACCCACGACCTCAGCATCACGGTCTCCTCCTCAAGTATCCGATCCTTCAGCAATGGTATTAGGTGTAATGAGAGCTGTGAGAGAACAGAGCCGTGCATCCCCATTCCAGTTAGTGTTTAAACCCAAACCTCCATATTTGAAATTATTTGTTGACCTAAATAAAAAATTCCTTATGATTTTTATACCACTCTAATCCAACCAGATTCCTCCTGGTGACCCTCGCCTGCCCTCACGCCCCGACAGCTGCCTGCCTGCATTCAGATCTGCCACTGCCTGTGGAACGGGATACTCTGCCTACAATTTTGGTGGCGTTCCCAACAGGAGGGAACAGATCAACACCCTGACGTCCTTCCTGGACCTTAGTCAAGTGTACGGCTCTGAGGAAAAGCTTGCCCTCAAACTACGGGACCTTCAAAATGATGGAGGCCTGCTACGTGTCAACACCGAGTTCAGAGACAACGGGCGGGAGCTGCTGCCTTTCAGTAACTCCAGAGAAAACTCTTGTGCCACTCGTAGGAGAATCACCAATGACCCCAACGCTCAGGAGGTGCCCTGTTTCATCGCAGGTCAGTTGTGGTACAAATTGAATCTCATCCAGAGAGTTTAGTTGTAAAAATCTGGGCTTCTTCTTGGAGCTTCAATAACGTTTCTTTCCTCAACTGAGGAACTTCATCAGAAACCAAGAAGAATTCCAGTTGCTTACAACTCAACTCTTTGGATAACATGACCTGGATGAATGAAAATCTTCACAGACAAATTAAATCTCACTATGTAGTCACAGGAGAAATTATAAGGGGAATTTGGGGGTCCAAGAAATCAACAGACAGTAAGAGGCTTTCAACATTTTCAACAAGTACCCAATTGAATGCTGTAAAACTGTGATTCCAAACCACTGTGCAGTGGCCCACGAGTGTGCTGCTGAAAATGATCTAATTTCACTTAATTGGTCCCAAAAACTATTATATATTTATTGCAAATAATTTTTCTAGTTTGTCAATGCGTGACAGGCTGAGCAAAAAAATCCTCTTTCGCTACGTGGCAGCAGATGGTTATTAAAACTAAAAAAAAAAGGTAATCAGAGCTGTTAAAGAAGATCTTTGAGTGTCTTTCTTCAATTCCTGCCCGTATATCACTATACTTTCTGTGAGATTTTTGTTTGGTGGTCAATCGATGACTTCTCAGAGTTTGGGGAGCTGGGGTCAGTCCCAGAAGTTATTAGGTGAGGGTGGGGTTCACCCTGGGCAGTTCATCATTCCACCAGAGGCACACGAATAAAAAATTTAAACGCCATTAGTTGCAAGAAGTCATGATTAATCACAATTCAAAATCACAGTCAATTCAAAAGTAGTGTATAGCACACTTTCAAATGTACTGCTATATGAAGAAGTGCCAAACAGCGTTAACATCGTCTTGGGAAATGAATTAGTTCACGGTGTTGGCCTGATATCATAGAGATTACTGGCAGTGTTGCATCTTGGTGTTCATAGACATAGGGATGAACTCCTCACTCTACCTTTCTGCTGTGTCGACTGAATCATTTCCTGATGAGTAAGGTACTATCTGATACTTTTTCAAAACAAACAGCTAATGCTACTTCTGGCTTAAATCAGGTTCATCAGGTAGGCACAGCTCTTCACCTTTTTGCTTGTCAAAGAGTCAGTTTGAAGGACCTTGTTTACATAGTACCTCTTGCTAGAATGTTTGAATGGACAATGACCATTTGGGGGTGGGATTTCACGAAAGATCCATTTTTTTCTTTTCCGGTTCCTGTGAGCAGCGCAGCAATGTGCAACACACATTACAATTTTTTTTTTTTTAAAGGCGACTACCTCTAAATTAATTAATCAGTTAATGTGATAATAGCGCATTAAGATGACCAGCCCTAGTTCAGCTTTAAGATTTTCTGTTGGTCATTACTATACACCTTCTTTTTCTGGTAGGTGACGTCCGTTCAAATGAGAACATCGCCCTCACCGCCATCCACACACTCTTCCTGCGGGAACATAACCGACTGGCTCGTGCCCTGAAGAAGATAAACCCACACTGGGACAGTGAGACGCTCTACCAGGAGGCTCGCAAAATCATGGGTGCTTACACACAGGTAGCCAGTCGTCACTCTTGTCTTTTTCAGCTGTGACACATCTCTTGTCTCCTCAGGTCTTTAAAACCTCTGGCCCTCTTTCAGATCTTTGTCTTTAGGGACTACCTGCCTCACATCCTGGGTGACAACGTCATAAGCACACAGATTGGAAGATACCGTGGTTACAATTCCAACATTGACCCAAGCATCTCCAACGTCTTTGCAACCGCAGCTTATCGTTTTGGCCACTTGGCCATTCAGCCGTTCCTGTTCCGACTGAATGCCAATTACAGGGAGAACACTCGGTTCCCCTCTGTGCCTCTGTTTAAGGCATTTTTCACACCCTGGAGAATCATCTTTGAGGGTGAGCAGGATGAAGAACACTCAGATCTTTCCTCCTGACTCTCTCTGAAGCAGTGAACTCATTTTTTTTCTTCTTCCTCCAGGAGGTATTGACCCTCTGCTGCGGGGTTTGGTCGGCCGTCCTGCCAAGCTGAACGCTCAGGATCACATGATGGTGGAGGCTATGAGGGACAAGCTGTTTAAGTTTGTGGACCAGATGGCTACGGACCTGGGTTCTCTCAACCTGCAGAGGGGACGTGATCATGGCCTGCCTGGTAGGATGATCCACTCGGTTCGAATACTTCTGAAAAGTATCAT